TCTCAAGTGTCCTGGGGCAGGGAGCACCACCAATGTAGTGTCAGAGCCCAGTGTCTGGAAAGTTCTCCCGATCACCAAACATGTAGAACTATAAATGGGGGAATTCAGTTCCCACTAATATACAGTAAAAACAGCCATGAAACAGAAACTCTCTTCTGCCAGGAATCTACTCAGTAACGCAGCGTTTGCAATCATAAATGCGCCATCCATTTTCTGCTTCTTTTTTGAGAATCATGCAAAATCAACTTTATTGAAATTCCTGTGTTTGTAGCTTTCAAAAATATTTTCAAATCAAATCAAAAGCTGTAAACTGAAGGAATAAATAGGCTCTTAAGAGTTCTGGTAATCCAATTAATGAAGAGCTTTAATATTTAAATTTCTTGTTGATTTGGCACAAAGTATTAGTATCAGTGAAGAAAACGTGAATCTCCTACCATGCCACTGAAGATCAGGGACAACACTCAAATCATTCAAAGTACACTAGATATTGGTCACTGCACAAATAATCTTGAAAAGCCCTGAAATTTTATAGCTTCTATGTAAAAACGCTTTGATGGAGATTTTTTCCAAATCAGAAAACAATGCTAAAAATTTACAAAAGCTGTAAAAGTTCTCCTAAACTTCCGATAAAAAATTAATTTTGATACACCATGCTATTCTCTCTACAGAAATGTTATTGCCAAATTACTGTCAGATGAAGAAGAGATCAAAAGCACTCAGCCAAACCTGGGGGAAAATATTATAAAGGCCTGCCAGGGAGTTAACAGAATATTACATTACTTTTAGGGATTTTATAATGTTTATGGTATTTGTCAGCTCTTTAAAATTTATAAATTGTTGTGCTTTGTATTGTCATTTAAAATTCTTACTTTTGTTTCCAATTTTGTATTTTTTTTTTTTTTCTTAAAAAGAACCCACAAAACTGAATAGCTTCAAGCCTACCAAAATCAGATCTTCCCTTGACAGAACACTCATCTTCCTCAATCCCTTGCCTCTGGGTCTTAACCTCTAACCCTGGATTAACCCCACCTAATAAATGTAGAAGGAATGATAGATTTAGAAAATCATTCTTCATAGCTCCCCCTAACATATACTGAAAAGATAGAAGGTTATTAACAAGCTATCTGCATGATGTCCAATTATCACCCCACAGATTACTTTCTAAGTTGCAAAGGGACAGATGTATCCTTACAATGGAGACTATCCTAATTGATCAAATTTAGAATTCCTAATAGAGGGACAATCAGGCATCATGTCCTTCCTGTCATGATGCAATATGGTCTTGGGTAGGCTTATGGCATCACCCCTATGAAGTATTCTTGCCAACAACCCAGTTTAATCTGAATGTAAGTAAACCTTTGTACCTACCTCCCAGTTTACAGAAATGCAGGGGCTAAAGGAAGGAGTTAAGTAACCCTACAAGTAAACAAGAAATCTAGAAGTTGGAACATTCTACAAAATCTAGTCTCTTCACAACTATCCCATGAGTTATTTCTCAATGTCATAGGAAAATAAAAAGGTAGAAGGACTGCCTTAGAGTAAAAGGGAACAAAAAAATGTAATCAAATGTGCGAACTTTAACTATATCCTAATCCTCTTACATCTCTACCCCCCTCCCCCCAAAAAGCACAACAGTTACAAAAGATGTTTGAAAAACGGGGAATTTTAAATCTAAACTAATCACTGAACAACACTGGGGGAACTCCTGTTAATTTTCTTCAATATGACAACAGTAATGTGTTTATATAAAGCAATATATTTTTAGGAGACACACGCTAGAAGTTCTTAGGGGTGAAGTTAGCCTCATGTTTGCAACTTACTTTCAAATGGTTTAGCAACTTCTCTTTATGTTTGAAAATTTTTACAGTTAAAAAACTGAAATAAGTAAAAAAATGTATTAAATCTATTTTTCTTTCACTTGGTCAATCTAACCAAGAAGTTTTTCAGAGTCAGAGTAATTCCTCTCATCAGACATTAGCAGTGAAGCAGTACCAAAGCCCAGGGGCTAATGTTTTCAGAACAGCCATATTACACGGAAGAATCTCCCAGGGTCTAAATGCAGCCATGGCCTGCTTAATTTGTGTTTATGAGTAGCCCAAGGGAATTTTTAGACTGCTAACTGCCATTCTGGGTGGAAAAGTCAAGCAGGAACAACGGGGCAGGGGAGAGACAGAACTGAAGCAAACAAAATTCTGTTTGACTTACTTTATTGATTTTAGGAATAAAAAGAAGTAGGATTCATTTCAGGGACACTACACACTCCCAGTGACTTATCTCATAGTAAAAATGATGAGTGAAGTACTTTATAATTTATAAACACCCTCATTTAGACCACCTCTTGGACTCCTTAAAACAGACTTAGCAAACAGAGAAAGCAAGTAATATTCCCAATGGGCAGAGGAGGAAAATGAGGCTCAGAGAGGCTGCAGGAGTTCCCTTAGGTCCCACGGCTAGCAGGCGGGCCCAGCTCCTTCACACGTGACCACTGACCTGCAGCAGGGTCACTAAGGGGCTGTCTCATGGTGGGCAACACTCATTTCTCTGAGCTTCAGTTTGGGACTAAAATAGCCTTGGGTCCATATGAGAAACTGCAGAGGTTGGAGGCAACACTTGGCATTAGACCCCCTCTCTTCCATCAACAGGACGGGGAGGAGGCAGGAAGGACCAAGAGCCAGTGGACAAGGAGGCAGCCTCCTGAAGGGGCCGGCACACGTCCCTGCTGGGCCCCCTCAGGGGCAGGGACACTTCTTCAAACACAGGCCCCTCCCCAGCAGGATCCCAGGACACGCCAGGGAATGAAAGGACCATGTGAGGCACAGCAATCACGGAAAACAAGGTACAAACAAGGACTGTGAAAAGCGAAAGCACCACTTATGAGTGTGATTCCTTCACTCCGCTGGTCAAGTCCAGCCCCTCACAGTGCCTAACGAACGGCCAGCTGTTTGGAGTGGCTTGCCTCCATAAGACGCTGTAACTGGGGGAAATTACTAATTCCGTGGCTTTCATAAAACACAGAGGTCCACCAAATGTTTGCTTGGCAGGTTTTTTTTTTCTCCCCAGAGGGCAGCTCATTAAATCTGACAATAAAGCGGGCTTTGTTCTAAAGATTTACAGTGTTTTCCCAGTGCAAATCTAATTGACAACCAGCAGGAGAGCAACAATGCAGAGCAAAGAGAGCCCTGGTCTCTCCCATTCTTCCAAGATCCATCTCAAAGAAGCACTCACTTCTTAGTTTCCTGGACCAGTGTTTAGCTTGGTCTTTATGTAGACGCAGGCAGAAGCAGATGCTTGGGTATCAGAAGTTTATCATTCAAAGTAGTCAAATCTTAAAACACCAAAAGAGATTTATTCTTTCAAACTTCAAAGATAGGAAATTTCATGTAATTCCCAGGCTCAGGATATCAGGTCCCTCCATGCAGAATAAGCATATTACATAAAAATGCAACCATGCCTTTTCCAGGGAAAGGGGGGGGGGGGGCGCTAAAAAAAAAAATAAAGTGCATGATGATTGAGAGTCTTCAGAAATGGTTGCATGAGAATATTAAAGGCACAGCCATTCAAATGGACGTGGAATAAAAGTTCAAGTATCAGAGGGAGTGATTTCAATATGAATGTTGGGTGTTGCGGTCACAAACAAGAGTCTCGCGTCTACACAGAGAACCAAGTCACATCAAGCAAGTCAGGGAACTGTGAGTGACAAGGTATAGAGAGGCCTGTTCAGACAAGGGACAGACATTACTGGGCCCTTTTTCAAAGAAAACTTTGAAGATTTTGTTAGGCTTTCTTCGTGGAACTGTCACAAGGTAACAATACAGTTGCAAATGAGTGGTGCTCAGTGGTCACATCCCTGCCTTTTGCAGACCAGCTGCCAATGGCTGCCCATGATGGGAAGTCAGCATCAGAGAAGGGACTCTCTCTGGAGGTTATTGCGCTGAGGCACAGCACAAAGAGAAAATTATCAAATAGAGTCCAATACCCAACACACCCACACGAACCAAAAGCAAAATAAAACTGCTGTCTGAAAAGAAAAGTGGCCAAAAATACAAAACAAAACAAAACAAAAAAACACACCTCCTTACTTCTTCCTGAATCTTCCTGAATTTCCTCCTTCTCCAAAGAGTACCTAGGTGCTTACAGTAAAAATAAACAAAAAACCATGTGCTTCCAGTAGCCTATACAGACTAAGAGAAGGGAAACTGGTGGGAGGTGGGAGAAAAGCACAATTCACCCTCCCTTTTCTAAACAAAAGCAGAGAAAGGAACCAAAGTGGGAAAGCATAGCACCCCAGTCAGGAGCACCAGACCAGGAGTCAGGAGGTCTGCAACCTTACTACGCTAGTGTCTACCAGGAGCTGTTTGGAAAGTACCTTAACCTCACGACTTTTCCTGTCCTCCTCCGAAAAGGAAGGGATTCATCTAGATCAATGGTTCTCCCACTGTACTGCTTAGAGCACAGGGGGTAAGGCGAAGGGAATGGGGCCCCATGCTTGTTCTCAACCTTAAAGAGTGCATCACTGATCCATTTTACATACTGAGGTTGTGAGTCAAGTCTTTTGTTTAAAGAGTTCTATCACCAAGACACCTCACAACTGAGATGCCTTAAAAGCACTGGACCAACGTGTCTTGTGATTTTTTATCTTTATGATTATGTGGTTTCTACGTGCCTCTCTGCATTACTATTATTAGAATTCATGAATAGATAGTCTCATTGATACAGATCCTCCAATCTGTATATTGGGTTCTCTTATTCCTACTTAAAGGGTAAGGGCACTGAACGTCAGATAAGGCACAGTGACCAAAATCACAGGGCTCAGTAGTTGACAGGATTCAAACTCAGGAATGACACTGAAATAAGTAAGCTCAGTGCCGTCCTTAAAGAATAAACTTCACTGCAAAAAAAAAAAAAAAAAAAAAACCAACTGGTTACCTCATTATTATTGCAATTCTTTCTCCATGGAACATCAGGTTCTTCATTTGTATTCTCTGGGAGTAAACACTTACCCTGGTGAGATGAAATGAATAGCCACAAGTTCTGCCCAACAAGCAAATCTGTTGGGTACAGGAAAGCCCAAAATGTTGGCAAAGCCTCCAGGGCAATAATGGTTGTTAAGAACTTTCAAAGCAAACAAAACTCCTAGAAGAGAATAAAGAGCATACAAATATCAACAATCCGAATGTGGAGATAATCCACACTTAACAAAGAAAACTAACTGAAAGCAAAAATGATTATTTGACTTAATCCCCCTTCTTGTTTTGAAACACTCTCCTCTTTACAAGTCAACCCAGCTTTTGGTAGAAAGACAAATATGTTCAAGGTAATCATTCTTTTGATGTTTCTTAATGCAGAAGTTCATACTGACTTTCAGTATGCTAGAAAATATACATGTAAAATGGTAATAAAACACCTGAAATGGTACTAAATGCCACTTAACTGTTCACGTCAGCATTGTTAATTTTTTGCTATGTGATTTCTTTTTAAAAGATTTTATTTATTTATTTGACAGAGAGGGAGAGAGACACAGCGAGAAAGGGAACACAAGCAGGGGAGTGGGAGAGTGAGAAGCAGGCTTCCCACTGAGCAGGGAACCCAATGCGGGGCTTGATCCCAGGACCCTGGGCTCATGACCTGAGCCAAAGGCAGACGCTTAACGACTGAGCCACCCAGGTGCCCCTATGCATCATGATTTTTAAGTCCATGAAAAAAAATAGCAGTAATGTGTATTTTTCGAACCTCTATGCAAAGACATGTTGAGGGCAGGGCATGTTTCCTTTCTTTCCCACAACTGGCTGCACGAGGATGTATCTTAAAGGAAAGGGTGCCAGATGGCAGGGAAAGTAGAGGGAAGAGTTAGATTTCCTTCTGTTCCAGCACTATTTCCCTCCTGCCCGTCACATTCTAACTCTTAGACTACCTCATTTTGGCCCCGATGGCCATTCCGTCCTCCGAGATACAGGCAGAGTGACTATCATGGTCCCTTAAACATAGTGAGCGTGCCATGGTAAGGTGTCGTACGTGTATTTTAATGCTGTTACTGAGAGGCATACCCATCGTTCTAGAGAATTCCTTATCACAGATACACCAGTGGGTCTTTCCACCATTAAGGAGCCAGTGTGTATTTCTAGAACTATCTCCTCCAAAACTACCTTGCAGCAGACCCTGGTCCAAACTGTCCAAGAGTGAATGATGCGGCGTTAAAATAGAATAGCAAGATCTATGTCCCTCCTCTGCTCCAATCATCCTTCTCTCCAAAATCCAAGCCCCAGCGATCCTTAGCCACTCAGAATTCAGTCCGCTCCCCAAACAAGGACCCCCGTTTCATAAAATGACAACAGTTACACCTCCCTTACTGTCTTCATGCATGCTCCCTTAGAAATGTGTCTGCCTTACCTGAGAAACCTACAGCACAGTTCCTTCTGAAGCCAGGTTCATCCATGAATTCTGCAAGAGCAAATTCTAAGAACAGGTACACAACTCCAGTGAGTAGGGAGAATGTGACGATGACGTAGGCAAACCATCTACTTCCAAGTCTTCTTTCTAGATTTATTCCTTTCCACAGCATGGATGCCATGTTGAAATACAAATGCCAGTCGTCTGCATGGTGAAAGGGAGAAAGCAGTAAGCGCTGCCAGTCTTTTTGCTGGTAACACTTCTCCACGCTAAGGCAGGACTCAAACAGCGGTTTCAGAGGATTCAAAAAGAACCAGATGTTGAGAACCAAAGTTGCTAGGGTGACGGGTGGAATATTGGTGATCCCAACATGGAAGATTTGAGAGAGTAGCAGAATCAGTCCAGTGTTAATTCCCCTTGATCTCCGCTGCATGGTTAGGTTATCAACCCAGTATTGGGAAAATGTGATCAGGTTTTAGGAATCGGGAAAGATATATAGGCAGCTGAACCTAAAACACAAAATGCACATGGAAATCCATCAATGAAGACTTAATAAACTGATAAGGCATACTCATTTAAAGATGAGCTTACATTATATATATCCCACCTCCCATCTGACAGAAACATTTTTTTTTAGTGTCTTCCAGAGTAACATCAGGATGCTGGCTGCCATCCTTCCTCATTTAACATTCTAAAATAGGAATTTTCTCCCAAATCCCAAAGGACCAGTTAATGGATGGGTATGCTTTCTCTGACAAATATGCCATGAAAAAAAGACTTGTCTTCTTTATAAATAAGCTGGTAACCTCATAAAAACCCTACAAAGATAGTGTGTAAATATTTAATAATGATTTCTACTCCAGATGATGAACAGGATTCTTTATCCCCTTAATTTTTTTTAAAGAAATATTCAATTTTGATATATTCAATACAGTCTGCCCCAAAGTTTTTAAACTTCCACAGGCAGGTTTTAAAATGCAAGCATTTACTATCTTCTACTCCATATTGCCAGTTATCAATGGCTAGGATGCTTTATATCGTCACAAAATTGAGTCCGGCAGAGCCCAGCCTAATTTGCTGACCCACAGAACAGTGAGCTAAATAAATCAGTCTGTAGCTTTGCCAAGTGTTAGAGTGCTATGTTATGCAGCAATTACTAACCAATACAGAAGGTATTTGCTTTGGTGGGGGCCTCGATTATGCTTATGGGAAGAAGCTGGCAAAGAAAGAGACACAGACTAAAGATGCAAAAGATACACAAAAAGAATCAAGTCCTTAGAGGGAACCAGCCTTCTCCATAGTAACAGGAAGGAAGAAGAAAAATGTCAGTTGCAGATATGGGTCAAGAGGCAGATTAGGGTCAGGATGCTGGGAAAAGTTCTCATCTAGTGGTTTTTCTCTGTGGAGCTTCTTGGGCTCCCAACCAAATATGTGACTTATCTGATCCCCTAAAGATTCTCATTCGGACAGGACACTGGAAGGTATGTGAGCTTGGGGGCAAAAATGGTTACAGTTCTACTTAGAAGCTCTGAGACCTAGGGCAAATTACTTAAACTCTCTGAACTTCACTTTCTTCACTTTAAACTAGAAATGATAATACCTCCTTCCCAGGATTACTGTAACACGTCTGGAACGAAGCAGATGCTAAATATACAGTGGCTACACTTTTCAATACTCTAAGGTAATCTCACCTACGTGAAAAAGCTTTGCAAATGGTAGCATCCTAATAAGGCTCAAAGGTACTCCCCCCATCCTCTTCCCATATGCATTCTAAGAAACGACCAAGAAAAAATTACACATTAATGTATGTATGCGTTTGTGTACATCCCCGTTATTAGCACAATCCAAGTTTTTTTTTTTTTTATTGCTATGGGCTTATTATTATAGCTCTGTAGCATTCTCAGGAACTTGAGAACTTAATAAAATCTCAACTGAAGAGCTCCCAGGCTATTTTAGAGAAATAGTCTATATTTTTCACATTGACATTCAAGTCAATTTTCAAATCTCCAATTACTCTTTTTGCAACATTCCCTAAATAATTTTAATATCAAACCTCAATACCTATAATAGGAGCAATGGAAAAATCTGGCCTTGATCATTAAGTAATCAGCTTACAAGAAATCACAAAATGAACCCTTCAATCTCAGTATAAATAGTGTCCTATGATGCCAGGCTATGCACAGCACAGAATCAAAACTAATTAGGTCTTTGCTTAAGAAAAATGACCCCCCTCCACCGCGATGGGAATCATTAGTGATGAGCAGTATAAACAAAAAGATAGTGGAACTTCCTCAATAGTATTTCACACTGCACCCAGGCTCGTTTTGCACTTGCTTGACTTCTGCCCAAATCCAGTGGTTCCTTTCCCTGAGCATCCCTCTCACCACCACCTTCGGCTGGTGAAGGTCCCTGTCTCCCTGGGACCCTGTGCTCTCCTGCAGCGCCACACACCCCCTCTCCCCCCAGCAATCCCCCTTCCTCTGCTTTTCCTTCTGCCTCTATTCTTGCTCTCTTCAACACACACTCATGCAATTCTACTCTCGTGGCTTCTAAAATTCGTTTTGTCATTTGGCTCCCCAAATTTCTATTTTGCACCCTTGATTTCTCAGTAGGTTGCAGGGGCATAATCTTATTGGAAGAATACAGCCTGTCTGATCTCTTGGTTTCCGAAAACTGAATTACCCCCACCTTCTCACAAAATGTCTACTTAGCCATTCCTTAGGTCACTCATCTGTTTAATAAATATCAAGTGCCAAGCACATGCCGGTCTTCATGCCAGACAGCAGAGGTATCACAAAGAACAGAAACCCTCACTATCTCAGCCCCTAAATGACCCATTTCTATTTGCTGGAAAAAAAAAAATATTGGCTATAGAAAATCAAAGGATGAATAAAATGATGTGGTTCACGTTCCCAACAAATGTATACTCAATGGGAAGGCAGACAGAACCATAGCCAATTTGAGAAGTGCAGAATATATTTTGGGCTCCACGATTACAAATAAAGGCCACTAGAGTACCAGTGTGGATAGAACGTAAGTCTGGGGTGTTCAGTAGCACAAATAAATGGGCATATTTCATACCAACTCTACGGCTCACTTTCCTTCCAAATAAGCTATCAAGTCAGCCTTCAAAAGTGAGGGATGCAGCCTCTAACAGGGTCACAGAAAATCCATGTGGTCCATGCGAAGGTCACATCTGTAACTTGACCCTGTGGGCCCAGCAGGCAGGGTTCTAAGAATACCAAAGAGAAGAGATCACAATAAGCCAGCACTGACTGTAAATGAATGTTGTTTTGTTCTGCTCATCAAATATATAAAAACGTTCAGACTGCTGAGCTGTAAGAGAGACCACAGAGGCATGATCGGTTATAGCAACTCATCTATAAGCTGGAAACCAGTTCAGCCTGTTTGGTTTGGGAAGTGATTTATTTATTCTAACTTGTACCCGGACCATAAAGCAGTTACCACAGCCCAAGGAAGAGCAGGCTAGTCCCTGTACTCCCCCAGCTCATAAACCCATCCTTCCCTCACGTTCAACCTGCCTCAAGCTGAACGCTGGACCCATCCCTTCCAATTCTGTTCCTCCTCTGTGTTCAGCATCTCAGGATACAGAATCTCCCGCTCCCCTGCTGTTCAAGTCAGAGATGCTGTTCAAGTCAGGATGCAAACATCCCTGACCCGTCCTCTACCCTCATCGCCCTCCTATCCTCCCATCCCATCCACCACACTTCATTAATTCGTCCACAGTTTCTGTCAATCTACTTCTTTCTAGCTCTTGAGACCTACTCCAATCTAAGCCACAGTCATACCTTGCCTGGATTACAACAAACTCCCTAACTGGATTCTCTGCTTATCCTCCTACAATCCACCAACCATTTTTCCACCACCGCCCAGAATAATCCCTGTAAAACTGAAGTTGGATTCCCTGCAGTAAGCCTGCGATGGCCTATCATTACAGTTAGAATAAAGTCCAAACTCTTCACCATAACCACACACTTGTGACAACCACTACCCCGCCCACCTCTGGTCTCTGCCCCAGTCACGGTGCTCCCTCCACAAGGTGCTCCCAACACAGGAGCTCCGGGATTGCAGCAGAAATGGCCAAGGGCAGAATCACTTTGTTTTGATTACCACTAATTACCCAGAGCCTAGTACAATGACTGGCATATAGTCAGTGCTTACAAGTTCTTTGCCCAAGGACTCAAAATGAGTATTTTTTAATATATCCACATTATACAATAAATAAGACTGACTGAAAAGACTACGATCTGTTCATCTTCTAAGTATTTTTCCTGCAATTGTAGCGACCTTCCCCATAGCACTATGCATACTATTCCATTTACATTTTAGTTCCAGAAGAATGTTTATAACATTTATCTCAACTTTACAGAAATAAACCTCTGATCCATGTAAAGTGTATTTAATAGGTTGTTTTGCCAGAACTATTTGATTAAAAAATGGCATTTTAATTATGTAGTAATACACACTAGATAGCACTGTATCAAAGTTGTGACAGAGAGAAATGGAAGACTTCTTGAAATATTGAAAGGAAAAATAGCCATATCTACTTTTAATAAGAAATTAAAAATTAAACAGGTATGTAATAAGAAAAGCTAAGTGGCTAAAACAAACAAAAGAAACTGAAATCGTAACTTGGGAAACCAATGTGTCTCAAAGGGGAGAGAAAGGAGTTTTATAAAAAGGGGAAAAAAATCTAATTACAGTGATTTTCAATTCTACTTACAAAGCACAAAATACTTCATCATTAGAATTTACTAGAGTGGTAAATGTCTCAATTTTCAGTTAAAATGCCCTATATCCCCAAAGGGGCATCTGATAATAACAGTGTTCATCCGTTCACCAGTTGATGGACATTTGGGTTGTCTCTGCTTCTTGACTTGAATGGATAATGCTGCTAGGAATATTCATGTATATATTTTTTTGGTAGGCACACGTTTTCAGTTCTCTTAGATACCTAGAAGTGGAATTGCTGGGTCATATGGTAACTCTATGTTTAACTCTTTGAGGAAATGCCAAACCATTTTCCAAATTTCGGCATCATTTTGTATTCCCCACATCCTTAACACTGCTTGTTTTTATCCACCTTTTTCGTTTTAGCAAACTGAGTAGGTGTGAAGTGGTACTGACTTAGACTTTCCTAATGACTAATGACATTGAGCAAATGCCTAAATTTTCATTGCTTAAAATATAATATAAACACGCATATTGACAGGTATGCAAAACCATACAGAGAAACTCATGCCCTCTCTCTCCCCCCCTCTCTCTCTCTCTGAGAAACAGTTTAACAAGCTCAGGTCAAAAGAAAGCTTCAGAAAGAAAGACGGAACCACAAAGAAATTGTTGTGGTTCACCTGCCAGGATTTCAGCACTGCCATACCCCTGGATGGGACATGTTAAGAGTGAATGTGAGTGTACTTCAGTAGCAGGGTCATAGGCTTGGGCCCACTCATTTGACGATAAATACTGTAAAATTTTGAAAGAAACAGAG